AAACATGCAATTGGCTGAGAATACTGTCACCATTGTAACATCAGCTTCTCTCGGTACCATTTCTTCAAGGAAGTTTTTGCATGAGCATTAAGAGTGTAGAACTAGTGGCTTAAGAGTCACTGTAAAACATTTACGGAAAAAAACCAGAAGGGGGATAAAAAGAGGGACTCCTCTATCTTGCCGATAATAAAAGGTGTCTAAACTTCTAGATAGCATAAACAAGTTATATTTGAACGTTTTCAGCTTTAGCTCACTCTGTAATTGTTACCGCCACAGATTCGGAAGTATGCCTCCTTTTCAAAGTACTTCCATTCAACTAGCTAATCAAGGATTTAGGAGTCTGACCCATTCGTACTCAGCACGGCACATTCTGATAGGAAGGCAAGTTTCAGAGACAAATCTCGGCACCCTCGCATCTCAGCCTGAAAGACTCCAGGGCAGACTATATGTTTAATGCTGCAACAATTTGTTTTTTGAGATAACATATATAAGCATTTGCATACATCGCAGAACCTCTGTGTCAATCCTGTTCAGCACTGGGCTTCCCTGAAAAAAGGCCTTCAGGTCTCAAGCGGCAGCGTTCGATGCAGAGTAGAGGCTGCCCAGGAATCCCACCCTAGCTTTGGATATGCCACCCCAGCTTGTTCTCTCCAATGGTCCACGAGGATGCTTCCCATTCCACCAGCTGCCTTTGACTTGGAAAAAAGCAGGCCAGAGCTGTGTGTGAAATCTGACCATCGAAGCCGTGTACTGGTACATACCTGGGACTTGCGAACCAGCACTGCTGTGTTCAAGTGGGAACTACAGGGTAGAACTGAAGATCCCTCTGGCTGTGCTCAAATACAGCCAGGTCCTTGGATGTAGGAAACAAGAATCAAGTAGCAAGGGCAGGACAAAGAGGCATGTGGTTTCCATCACTGAAAAGGCTGAAATATCCTAGCCATATCCCATGGAATTGTTTATGCTGCAAAACTGCGTACAGATAATGTTCTTTAGTGACACCAGAAAAATCCAAAAGGGAGTCAAAGTATCATCAGTTTTCAGGATAAAGCCCTTAAAGAATTTTTCTTCTTTTGGTAGTAAAACACAAATATTACCCATATGGCCAAAACTTTCATCTACTAGTTACTTTTCTATCCCATTAATGCAACACACAACATTGCTGAGAGCAATGAAACAATACTGCAGTATACAACAACACTACTAAGGTTTGTTCTGAGAGGGAAGTCAAGGAAGGTTCTTCTTTGCATTTTTAATATATTCTACTACTTAGGTTTTAGAAGAGGAAATAATTGCAAGTATTAATGCTTAGATAAGATCAAAAGTCAACGAAAAAGCTTTTGTAGAAAAGTATTAAGATTCCTAATAATAAAAATATTTGCAAATTTAATTACAAATACATTTTAACAGCAAAGTCCTTAATTAAGTACATCAGGGTTGGTCAATATTGACAGTGTTCCTTTAAGAGGAAGCGAAGATAACACCCACAGCATCTGTGGGAACATCTAAACGCGTAGAGTATATACACTTATTGATCAAACTATGTCAAATATATAAAGTGAAGAAGCAGTATATACAATTTTGAACCTACACAAAGGTTATAATGGAAGATCAAGTAAGAGTCTGCTAAAGTCTTAAGATATTAAGTACTACTGATTTCATGCATTTGTTCGA